TTCTGAGAGCGCCTCCTTCACAGGTATTTAGGGAAAAAAAAAAAAAGATTACAGGCATGCACCATCACACCTCATGAAACTCAACATTTATATAATTTAATTTGTGTGTGTGTGTGTCTCACAAGGGACTAAACCCCTGGCTTTTGCATTGAGCTACATCCTCTTCTCATCCTCCCCCTCCTCCTTCTTCTTTTATTTTGAGACAATCTTTTGCTAAGTCTCTAAATTCCCCAGGCTAGGCTCAAACTTTTGATCCTCCTGCTTCAGCCTCTCAGAGCACTGGGATTAAAAGTTCCACCATCCCCAGTTTATTGGGGGTTTTTTGTTTGTTTTGTTTTTAGAGAAGAGTACAGTAGTTCTTCTAGTTCACAGGAGATATGTTCCAAGATCCCAAGGGATGCCTAAACACTTGAGAGAGTACCAAACTCCATATTTACAATACCATGTCTTTTCCTTTTTTTTAATTTTTATTTTTAAAGCCCATGTTTAAGTAGGCCAGGAATATAGCTCAAGGGCATAAGCACCTGCCTGGCAAGTGTGAGGTCCTGAGTTCAAATCCCTATACCAAAAAAAAAAAAAGCCTGTGTTTGTAGTAGATAATGATCACAGTCTTCAAGGTACCTGACATGTGTACATAATACATCTTAATTCTTTTTTATGTCCCTTTCCTCTCTCCTCCCTTTCCCCATGTCTTTTCCTATACATTTGTACCTATGACAGTTTGACTTATAAATTAAACACAGTAAGAGATTAACCAGAAGTAATAAAATATAACCACATATTATAATAAAAGTTATGTGATTGTAGTCACTATATTGTATTTTTATCTTCTTACTTAAAGAAGCACTTTACAGGTGCTATGTGGCACCTGTAGTACTCTAGTGTTTTGAAGCCATTCTTAAGTAAAACTACAGTTATTTTCTGTTTCAGCTACTGATGTCATCTAGTGGGGTCACTTTCCTGGCCCCTATATTCCACTCTGAGGCAAAGAGATAAAGTCAAAGAGGTTGGTAAGTAGCTAGATCTCTGAGGGCCTTCTAGGCCACATGAAGGAATTTAGGCCTGATCGCAGAGCTGTTAACAAGCCATATGCATTGTAAGGAGAAATATCAGATCACTTGGGCTGCAGTAAAAACTGTAACTCTAGAAGTTTGACAGGAAGGAAATAGTAAGATAAGGCTTTAGTCACAGAATACGATATCAAGGGAAAGTCTTTTTTTTTTTAAGCAAAAAATAGGTGCTATAGTTTAAATTCATCCCTCTGCAAAGTTCATTTGTTGGAAACTTAATCTTCAGAGCAAAACAGCGTTGAGAGACAGGGCCTAATAAGTAATAAGGTCAAAGAACGCTGCCTTTGAGAATGCATTAATATCATTATTGCAGGAGTGGTTAGTTAGCTCAAGACTGGGTTTGTTGTAAAAGCAATGCTGGACCCCTTCTGCTTGCCATCATGATGCAGCATGCTAGCCCTCTCCTGATGAAACCTCTCAGACTTGGACTCCCCAGCCTACAGAACTGTAAGAAATCCATTTTAAAAAAATAAACAGGGGCTGGGGATATAGCTCAGTGGCATAAGCACTTGCCAGGCAAGCCTGAGGTCATGAGTTCGATTCCCAGTACCAAATAAATAAATAAAACACACACAGAAAAAAACATTTAAAAAAATTAAAAAATAAATTACCAACCTCAACTATTCTGTTATAGCAATACAAAACAAGCTAAGACCATGGGTGAAACTGGGGTTTGCTTGAATCCTGGCAGAAGTATCCAATATTGCAAGAGGCTTATGGGAAATCCCTGAGAATTAGGAAGGGAAACTTGAGCATTATAAAAAGTTTGGCTTTTAAGAAAAAGCTTCATACAATAAAATTGACTTTATATGATATTAAAGATTCACTTGATACCACTATAATCAGGATTCTGATGAATTCCATCACCCCAAAGCTTCCTCATCCCTCCTCCCCCCACCCCTTTTGTTTTTTTGAGACAGGGTTTCCCTATGTAATTCAGACTCGCCTTGAACTCACTATGTAGCCCAGGCTGGCCTTGAACTCACAGAAACCCTCCTGCTTCAGGCTTCTGAGTGCTGTGATTACAGGCATGCACTACCACCTCCAAGCTCTATGATCCTTTTAGAGACTTATGTCTAATCAAGTCACTCCTCTGCCCAAAACTCCCCAGTGGTAATGTTGCCATGGCTGACGAAGTCCTGCATCATTAGGCCCCTTGCTGTCTCTCTAATGTGGTCTCCTACTGCTCTCCCCTTTACTTGCTCCATTCTCAGCCATAGAGATCTCCTTGCTATTCCTCTAGTGTCAAACATGTGCCTGCCTCAGAGTATTTAAATTTGTGGTCTCCTCTGCTAGAACATTCTTTCCCTAGATATTCACATGGTTTACTCTATCTAGTTAAGCACAGCGTCTATGTAAGTGTTCCTTAACAATGAGTTCTCCAACTTCTGAAACAGCAGCTATTCAATGCCATAGTATGATCCCTGCCTTGCTTTGTTCTTTCATAGTCCATAACCCTGACAATATTTGTTTTTCTGTGTCCTGAGTTAGTAAAGATCCTTGAAGGCAGTTTTGTCCACTGCTCGATTTACACTGAGATGAGTGCTTGTCTGGAACATACTAATAGCTCACTGACTATTTTTGATTGCATAATTTTTTAGGAAGGAAACACAGGATGAGAACACATGTAAGCAGATTTCTAGATTTCAGGACAGTTTACATTTTCTATTACTTGTGTGGTTAGGTAATCAAGGGAAGTGATACAGAAGTGCACAGTTAGAGATTTCCAGCAATAGTGGAGAGTAAATTGAATGAAATACAATGAGGTCTGCAGTCACAGTTCAGCGTCTGTTTAAGGTTGATAAACTAATTTAGTGATGTCAATCTCTTTGGCAGGACAGTTCTCTACAAGGCACTAGCATGGAGAAGATTGCAGGTCCAGCCAGTGTGGGAGTCTTAGTTGGAGAAAAGGGACTGTTGGGGTGAGACTGTGAGTAAAAGCGGGGTTGTAATGATATATCATTAAATCTAAAATAGGTAAGGAGGGAAGTTAAGAGTAGAGGGGGTAGTTAATGGTTAAGACATAATTTAGAGGCTTTCAGCCGATCGGAATTAATACAGTGAAAGAACAGTTATGCTAACATTTTAAGCAGTTAAAATGAAAGGATAGAAGGCTGACTGGGCTGAAGGATGTGCGAATTACTGATTCGTGTTTGGTAACAAAGTCTAGGTTTTGATTGGGATTGGGAGGATCGCTATAGAAGAGGCCCGATACTGAATGGACTGTCGACCTAAACTGATATGACCAAGAAAGACGGTCAAAGGGAAGCAAGTAAGGCCTGCTAGGGCAAATCGTCAACTGTTCACTACAGAGGTGGTCAAAGGGGTGGCAAAGTCTAAGAAGAAGCGTCAGAGAACTAAGCGTCTGTCCAACGGGTGACAGTGTCTGGCACACAGCCCACACCTCTGGGACCTGACAGTAAGAATACTAACCCCTGTGAGGGATCCCAGGGCTTGCAGGATCCTCAGGAGACATCCCGGTCTTATTTAAGGATTGAAAGCCGATCTAAAAGCAGAAAACCCTGAGAAGACCTGCTTGAAGGAGACTAGGTATAGATTAAAGCAACAGGAAACTCTAACATATCTTTGTTCTTTATTATTTGTCCTTCCTCCAGCCTGCCGCCGCAGCACACCAAACTTTGCCTCCAGAAAACACTTATCTGGCTGTGCCCATCCCGGTTCTTTTCAACTCCGCGCGGAAGCTTTCCTTCCGGAACTCCTTCGGGTCCGTGCTCTCCCATTGGTTGAAGCTTCGCCCGCTTTCACTCACTTCCGGTTAGGATCCCGTGGGGCGGGGCCGTTAGGCGGAGTCACTTCCGCCTCCCCCCCCCCGTTCCCTTTTTAGCCGCTTCCGGTCTCAGGCCCCGCCCCACCCGTGGGCCCCGCCCCTCCCTTCTCCCGCCCCGGCCGGTGGCCCGGCCCCACCGCACCGCTTCCGGTGCGGGCTCCGCCCCGGCTGTGGCGCCCGGCGGCGGCGGCGGAGGAGTCCGAGACGCAGCTGTGGCCTGGGGCCTGAGCGGCCGCTTAGTCCACCGCCCGCGGCCGGAGCGTCACAGGTTAGCCAGCGGCGCCCGCTCTCGGCAGGTGGCTCCGGGGATGAGGGAGGCAGGTGTGCGACGGAGCGGGGACGCCCGGCCCGAGAGGAGAGAGAAAGGAGTCGGGGTCCGGGGATGAGGGGACACCGGCCCGGCGGAGGGAAGATGACTGGGCTGCCTGGGGAGGTCCCAGAACGGGGGACGCGGGGTGGCCGCGAGCGAGCCGGTGGGAGCCGACCAGGCAGGCGTCGAGGGCTCCGGGGTCCCGGACCGGGGGCTGGGGGAGGGGCCGCGCCGCAGGGCGAGAAACTGCAGGTTCCCCAGACCCGAGCTCCGCGAGTGCAGGCAGGTGGCATTGTTAGGTTCACAGCTGCCTGGGAACCGGGGAAGGTGGGCTCTGGGGGAGAACCGTGTGTCGAGTTGTAGAACTGAGTCATCTCTGTTCCCGGGACTGCACACCGAGAAGACGGTGCCACAGAAGTGACGGGCAGAATGTAGTTGGGAAATTATTTTGTGATTGATGGTGATGCTTATAAGGACATTTTCAGTGGTCACTGAATTGTTCAGTTTATTCTTTTGTTTAATTTTCTTTGACCCAAATTGTTTTTGTTCTTGATTGTGTTCTTTTTTACTTTAAATGAACACTTTTGTCAACTGGATTTAATGAGTCCAAATCTTTTCGTGCTTTGTACACTGAAAGAAGAGCTAAAACAGAATAAACGCGTTGCTTCAGGCTTAACTCACACTTTGTAAAGTGCCAAGAGAGGAAGTAAAGGAAGTCAGAGGCAAATTGGAATTTGAATCTTTCACAGAATTCAAAAGGCATAACCAGCACTTCTAAGATAAACAAAAAATGAGAATATTTACTCTTTTTTGCCTAGCTTTAAAAATTGTACTCTTTTTACTCTAACGTATAAAAAAATCATAAATCCAAGCCATTTTTATTGCTAAGGATGTGATTACTTCCCCATGAATTTTTGAAGATGCTGAAGATTTTTTTGTTTGTCTTCCAACCCAGTTCTAAAACACTGAAACAATGCAAGTATCATGTTCCAACCTGCGCGATACAGCTGCTGCTTTCATGTGATGACAAAATTACACACCATGTTGCAGGCCCTGTTCACCCTAAAATTTGCCCTTGCATAGTAATCCATTCAGTTATGGAGACTTGCTGAGAAAACATAACTCAAAGGGAGGTTTGTTGGGGGTGGGAGCTTAAAGTGGAGGAAGAGGGGTTTAGAGATGGAGAGGGTGTGAAAGGGGTATTTGGAGACTGATTGGTAAGAATGCAGATAAACCTGCCCCCAGAATGCTTTTGGCCTGAAAGTCTTTTTCTTTTTGTATTCATCGAAGGAAAAATATCATAGTAGAAGTGAATCAGAAAGAAAAAGGGTTGCAAGATTTACTTGGCCATATATAGGAAAGAAGCATTAACTTGTTTAGATAATATTGATACCTGTTTCAAATTAATTAACTTTAAAATCTCCTGAGGAATTCGCTCCTGTTTATTTTTGAGCGGGGATTGCAATTTGAGACTCCTGCCTCCTGTGTTTTTTTTCTTTCATGTTGTTGAAATTGGATTCTTTTTGAGGCTATAATGTCCAGTTAGCCTGGTTCAGTCCATTCCGTAAGCAGGCTGGCAATTTGATCTGGGAAATTTGCAAAGTTTAAACCCAAGAGCAGTGTGCTTAGTCTTGCTGCTTCTACAAGAGAAGTTGTGCTGTCTGCCTGATAGTTGTCTAGCTTGGATGGTAATTTCTTTCTCTGATGGGCCTGGGGAACATAAGGGATAGTCTCTTTTTTTGTAAGCAGGGCTTTCTTTTCCTTTATTATGGTGGTTTTCATAGTTACAACCCCTTGTACAGTGCAATCCCATTTGCCTTTTCAGTGGTAAACATGAATGTTTAATAATATTGAAGGAGAGAGATCAGAACACAGATGTTGGCAGATTAAATAGCTTTTGGGTTTTCTTCATTTAAAACCCTCAATAGTCTACTAGTAGCAGAATTGACCTTGCATTTCCCTTCTTAGATCTTGTTCCTTTATTTACACGTCGTCCCCCCCGCCCCCCATTATTCAACTTGTGTTGAAACTCAGATTTAGGAGCACATGTTTAATGGTCAGAACTATGGCCTTTTACTGGAGAAATGAAAACCTTTTATACCTGTTTCATGCAGATGTTTTTCTCCCTTCCTCTTCCTTTGTAGTTTTGGTTAATCACTTAAAGTGGACACCCAGCGTGCCTACTAGGCCGTGCCCTGGTCCAGAGCCATGCCAATCTATGAGTGAGACTCACGGCAGTGATGGAGCCACTGCAGCCACAGCAACAGAAGCAGTCGCACCTTGCTCCTCTGCAGATGGATGCCCGAGAGAAGCAGGGACAACAGATGAAAGAAGCCCAATTCCTGTATGCCCAAAAGCTAGTCACACAGCCTGCTCTCGTTTCTGCCACACCTGGGAGACCTGCCAGCAGCCCTGCCCTGGGTCCCTTAGCCAGAGTTTCACCTGCCACACCAGTGGCCCGAGTGTTTGAACGGAGCAATGTGAACTCAGAGCCGGAGGAAGAGGAAGGAGGTTTGGAAGATGAGGATGGGGAAGATGATGTGGCAGAGGTGGCTGAAAAAGAGGCCCAGGCTGCTTCCAAATATTTTCACATGCAGAAAACAGCTCGCCTAGACCCCCGAGCAGCACCAGTGTCCAGTCTGCTTCCAGCACCAGGACTCCCCTCACACGGACAGCAAACTAAAGAAGACCATACCAAAGATGCTTCCAAGGCCCCACCTTCTGTTTCCATGGCTGGGCAGCCAAGCTGGAATCCAGATGAGCAGCTTAAACAGGTGAGTGTTTCTGCCATGGAAGGCCATTTGTTCCTCCCGAAGGCGAGGTAGAGAGGGTGCTGGATGGCCAAGAACAGGGGCTGTGCCAGTCTGGGCTTCCTTGCCTCACTTCACTGATCCACAGCCAAGGCATGAATAGACTTTGAATTTTTTTCTTGCTTTTGTTGTCTTGGGCTGGAGCTGCAGTTTAATAGCATGTATGCTTAGTATGGCCAAGGCCAGTTCAGTAGTGGCAAACCTATGGAACATGTGCTGCAGCAGGCTGTTTGTTATCATTGAAAGCTTTAAAAAGGTTTGCTATCACTACCTAGGTTCTGTCCCCACCATATACACATAAATTAACGTTTGCTTTCTTGATTAAAATGATGGAATGTATAAGTTATTCTTCATGCAGATTGTTTCAAATCTGATGTGGAAGAATGCCAGTATTGCCTTTCTTTTTCAAAGGAAGGATGAGTTTGCTCCATTGTCACGAGGACTATCTAAAAATGGGATACTTGGTTGTCAGTAATTTTTCTAATAGTAACATCAAAGAATAGAATAGTCTTGCCCAAGTGTTTCCTAGGCTAATGGAGGACAGTGCCCTTTGAGGAGAATTTGTTGTATCATAGCTGAATATAGCTGGCAAGAAGCACTTGTATCACATATTTTTCCCAAGAAAGAGCCTTGTGTACATGATTTCATTTCACCTTTATATCATCTGTTTAGAAAGACAAAAGGATAGACCTCACAATTCCTTTTTTAGCTTCAGAAAGCTGAAATGACATCTAAACATGGCTGAGTATCAGAGTCAGGTAGTGGGCTTTTTAAACAGGCAGACGGCAGGGTCCTAATAAATGATTTTGGAGGGTAGAGCCCAGGAAATCAGTGTTTTTAACCAAACCTTTATTTATAATTTCCCTTTTCTGCATGACCTGCATTGCAGTTTTCCTCATTTAGAAGAGAGGTGTTAAATTGTGCCAGGCTGAGTGACTTGTTGGTTTGGGCAGAGTTCATGATAAAGCTATTAGTATATAAGTGCTGTAGGCATGCTCCATGTGGCCCGGTGGTACCATTTAGAAATCACTGGTTAGGAGCTGTGCACTTACGTAGGGCAGCAGATAAGTCATGTAAGAAAAGTCCTTTGGAACCTGAAAAATACAGTTGTGCTAAGTTTTACAATGGCAGTGTTGGTAATAGTGTCTACAGTAAGAAATGGGTCTCACATCCCCCCACCTCCTGTGTCTTACCCTTGCAATCTTTTTTGGCGCTCTTGAGTTGCTCTGGCCTGTGTCTTCCCATCTGTACAATAAAAATAACAAAGATGCCTCTGAGGGATGTTGGAGGTATTAATGAACTAGCCCACATGAATGTCTGCCCAGTGCCAGGCACATGGTAGCCAGTGGTGCTCCAGGTTGTTCGATGCAGACAGTGCCATCCTGCATCCACACCAGCATGTGTCCAAAGGTACACCGAGGGTTTCCTCACATCACCCAGGGAGACAGCAGCAGAGCTAGGACTAGAATCAGAAGCCTGACTTCCACGACAGCAGCTCCCTGGCTGCCAGCCCAGACCCGCCTCCAGGCTGATGGCTCTGGTTTAGCAAAACATCTGTGAGTTGCTGGCAGCCCCCGTGTGGCTGTGTGGTTGGCAGAGTTCCATGCTGGCCGCTGAGTCAGCTCCTAGCGGGATCCCGCCCTGACAGTGCTGGGAAAGTTCAGGCCTGAGGCGGCTGGCTGCCCCCGCCTTGGCAGCAGGCCAGCCTTTGCATGTGTGCGGTCGTTCCTAGAAAGTGCAGCCGCGTGCGCAGAACAAGTGTGCTCCAGAGCCTGTCTGTCTTCAGGAAGTGCAGCAGGTGTTGAGGTCAGGCCATTAGAGCTTCGATAAAGAGGCTCTTCATAACTGGTGCGCGTGCACAGACGTGTGCGCTGCGGCAGGGCTCTGAGCCCCAGGTTCTGGATGGCAGCGGCTCCAGGGCTGCACAGCTCAGCGTTAGAGAAACTGGCTTTTGGCATTAGAAGCCCTTTTGAGTTCATTTCAGTTTCTAAGGCTTACTTGCTAATTATAGACTGCCTGGCAGAGGACCTGCCAAAATATTTTCATAGATGCCAGAGTAGCTGAGGCTGATCCTCACCCAGAATTTACCTTACTCCTGAACTTAGAGCTCAGGAACCAGGTCATGGGGGCATTCACTGGGTAACAGTGACTTAAATTCTTGATGAACACCTTGTGTGCCTTTTATGGATTCACTTTTACAAAATTGATTTAGTGTGTGTTCCCCTTGCTCTAATCTGGCTTTCAAAGGAGTAAATAATGTGCTTGATGGTTGCAAAATTGTTTTAGTTGTGCTTTGGAAGGAGGACTAAAAAAGTAATATCCTGAGGAGAGCCTACAGAAACCATATATACCATGAGACTGGCTATTTTTATTGCTCAGTCTTTGCTGTGTGTAATTAACTTCTGGAGAGCAAAGATAGCCTTGCTTGCTCAACAATTCAAAGACCTCTCACAGTTGATACAAGATCTTGTTAATGTGTTACACTGTCCATTTTGTTCTTTCAAACACCAAACTTACAAAGGGACTCTCTGTGCCAGGTCTGTGCTTCCTAAATGCAATAAGGCATGTCTGTCCTTCCAGAAGGTGGTGCCTAGGAACTCAAGGCAGATGGGGGCTGTGTGCCAATAATTTGACTCTGTCCTGAGTCTCTGAAGCCCCCAGTCTGTGCTATTGTGCAGTAGTTGTTGTTGTTGCTTTTTGAGGCAGGGTCTCGCTTTGTAGCCCAGGCTGGCCTCGAACTCTCAGCGATCCTCCTGCCTCAGCTTCCTGAGTGCTAGAATTACAGGTGTGTGCAACCATGCCTGGCTTCCTCGTGCAGTATTAATTGAACTTTTAATGAATATTTTCTTTATGTCTTAAAAAAATGTGCCAACTCCCTATGGTGAATCAATTATACATTGCAAACATATAGAAATAAAAAATTTTTAAAACTGCAGAATAAAAAAAAACTGCACAGTAACCAGGTGTGGTGATGCATGACTGTAATCCCAGCACTGGGGAGGCTGAGGCAGGAGGATCGTTGCAGGTTTGATACCAGCCTGGGCTATAAAGTGAGTTCAAGGACAGCCTGAACTGCATAGCAAGACCCTGTCTCAAAAAGACCAAAAAAAAAAAACCTACATGAGGAAATAGCTGAAATGAAAATCATTGAAAATACTGTCTGTCAAGTAGAATTTGTCTAGTTATCTTTTTTTACTCATTTCTTCATTTCCTTGACAAAAAGATATGGATGGTTCTGTTAGGGTCAATTTTACAAAAAATTCTAAGACTATTTGGGGTTTTTTTGGAGACAAGGTCTCTTTTCTTAGTTCAAGCTAGCCTTGACTTATGCATCCCAGACTGGCCTTGAGTTTGCAGCGATCTCCAGCCTCAGCCTCCTAAGTGCTGTGGTTGCAAGTATATGCTACCACACATGGCTAGTTCTGAAACTATTTGAAATGAATATGAATTGTTTAGTATATTTTGGGTGCTCTGCATGAGTTCGTTAGGTCACACCTGTTAACTGGTATTGGTTTTTCCAGACTCATTACTGTGAATCCTTAATCTGTAGTAATCAAGCAATAGAAAAAAAAATCTAAAGCCTGCTATTCGGGACTATCTAATATTATTTGTGTTTATTTTAATCTTTGCTTTAAATATTTTGCTTTTTTTCTTGAGACGGGGTCTCATTATGCAGTTTAGGCTGTCCTTGAGCTCACTTTGTAACCCAGGCTGGTCTCAAACTGGCAGTGATCCCCCTGCTATTACAGGCGTGTGCCACCACACCCAGCAATATTTTGCTATTTTAAGGTAAAATGAATTTAAACTTTTAAAACTTAGAAAGTGGCATTCTTATTCTAATCATGCTTTGTATTTTGTGTGATACCACCTTCAGTTCCTTTAATTGGTATTGCCCTGGGTTTTACCTCATATTTTGAAATTCATTTCTTCTTGAGTATTTGGGACAGGGAAGGACCTCCAGAATGTTGTGCTCCAAATGGGCACAGGCACCACGGGGATACAGTAGCTCATGCAGCTTTGTCTAGGCTTTGAACAAGCACAGAGCTGAATTTTGAAAGTGTGCCTGCGTGATCTTTAACCATGATCTAGAGTATTTAATCCACTTATATTAGTTATAATTATTAATTGTTCTACCATTATTTTGGTAGATAGATAGATATTTTTTTTTTTGGTACCAGGAATCAAACTCAGGACCTTGTGCTTGCCAAGCAGGTGTTATGCCACTGAGCTATATCCCCAGCCCTATGTTTTTCTTGATAGGCTGGGCCTGGTGGTTCATGCCTGTAGTCAAAGCGCACGGGAGGCTGAAGCAGGAGGATTGCTGCTAGTTTGAGGCCAGCCTGGGCTACATAATTTTAGGCCAGACTGAACTGCATAGCAAGATCCTGTCTCTAAAGAAAAAAAAGTGTATTTCTCGTGATAGTTTATTTGTGCTGTCTGTAATAAAATACTTGAGACTAGATGATTGATTTAGTTTGTTTGTTTTTTGGGTTTTTCTCCAGTACCGGGAACCGAACTCATGACCTTGCGTTTGCCAGGCAGGCACTTTGCCGCTGAGCTAAATCCCCAGCCTCTAGATGATTGATTTAGAACAAAATTCATTTTTTCAGGCTGGGAAGTCTTAAGATCAAGGCATTGGCAGGGTCAGTGTGTGGTGAGGGCCAAGGCCTTCTTGTGGCATCCACATGTTAGAAGAGCAGCTGCTGTTAAGACCTCAGTTCCAAGTGGGGGTTGCTCCTTCGTGACTTAATCACAGCCCAAGGCCCCACCTCTTAACGCTGTAATACCATGTGGCCATTAAGTTTCAGTGCATGGGTTTGGAGAGATACTCAGACCATAGCACTTGCCGTATTTGTTGTTATTTTCTTTTGAAGCATTATTTTCCATTCACTTATTTTTACTCATCTTAAAAATTATATACTTTAATTGCAATGGTTTTAAAAGTGATGCTAATATACATCATT